AGAGCGAATGCAAACGAGAAAATATGTACTCATCATCTACTCATCAAGTTGACGTCAAGAGTTTATAAGTTCCAGTTTGCTCGAAATTGCTATGTGCTCTTGCCATACAAAAGTTGTATGACATAGAATGTGATCTATTGTTCTCCGGTTGATGAATCACAGAAACTAACTTTTTCGAGTGTGAGCTCTGTTTCCAGTTCATCTTCACTTTGGCGGTCAATTATCCGGAGCCCGGTCAATACAGAAACTAATAAAGCCCTTTGGTGTGTAGTCTAATTAACTGTCTTTTGGCTCCATAATGACGCTTACGCATTCCTCAGCTCTCTGTGTGTGTGTGTATGTATAAAGATTTTTGTGGTTGGCAAGTTGTAGCCTCTCTTGCGTGTCCATGCGACGTATCCCATTGCGACTTGTTAAATGATCCATTTGGACGGTTGATAGATTGAAGGTGTCCGGCTATTAGCTCGGGAGATCACTATCGTTGCCTCAAAAGTGTTATCTAGTTTTCCAGTCTGTCTGATATGCTGGTTTAAATCTGGCAGATATCGCCTGAGTTACACCAAATGGAACCGTTCACGTCAGTCGAGAGAGAACATGAGCGATGGAGGAACTAGAAAGTCGAGAACAGGGCACGATGAACTTTGCTGCAGTTTGCACGGCAGCGTTGGCCGATGTGATCCATTGTAGAGTGTGTTGAACCTTTCGTGCGTAGACAGGAACAAGCTAGCCACGCTGAAGTTTCTGGGATTCCGTAACATGAGACTTTCCGAGTGGAGCATTGTACCATTTTGACTGGTATCTCTTGTGGCAGATTTGATTTTCGGCATTGACTCTCCGCTCGAAACATTCAGTGCATCAATAAAACCCTGTAATATAACGTAACTTAGGAGCTGCTAAACCGATGCAGGCGGTAACTGTTCTGCGAAATACGAAATTTTCACGGATCGCGTTGAGTGAACATGAAGCTCCCCATCGCTAGTAAGGTTCTTTCTCGTCAGCTGTTACTCTCGACCATGTGATTTTCCAGAATGGTCTTTCTGTTCATGAAAAACACAAATGATCAAATAGAAAAGTGTTTGCTGATTCAGCTGCTCTTATGCGACCCGATCGTATTTGGCCCCTGTCGCTCGAACCTTCATAAATGATCGAATCCACGGTTTATAAAATCCCTCTCGTATGAATCACCGGTTGAGGTTACACGGAAGCTTTGGCACCACCTCAGAATACAATCTCATCATCCTTTTATCAGAGCTGCGAATGCATGAACTTTTGTAGTGTTTTTCTGATCCCTACTACACATTTGCCCAACAAGTTTTAGCCAATCACTTTAGTCTTTGGGTTTAGACTAACTCATCACTGAAGATTTGTTCTTCATGCACATCTTTGCTTCCGCTAATCAGGCCACTATGCTTAAGAAACGAAAACGACGAAAGGTTAATCGTCGTCACACCGAGCCAGGTTTGGGTGCTCCAAGCAGTCCAGACGGGAACAGTGCAGACAGTTTGGGCAATGCGAGTGATTCTATGGAATCAATTGAACAAGCCAGTAGTAGCATTTTTGGAGCCAGTGGACCAACACCGAGACAAGACCCAGATGATTCACCCTTGGGTTATGCTGGACATATGGCAATCCTCCGGCAGACTGAAGGGGATATGGCTGACCTATCTATCGGAAGGCGTACGAATGGCCCGGCACAAAATGTCCTTCAACCGACCACTTCGACCAGCTCCCAATTTGCAGAAATTCCTTCAACCACCCGACGTACTCTAAAAGCTCCACTAGTACCTGTACCTTCTGATCCCTCCTGTGGCGGTTATCCCCATCGATCACATGTTACAGTCAATCCTGACTCTCCGTTACGCATTGGAGATAAGACATTTAGCAGCGATCCACAGATTGATCGGCCACATCCTCCAGGTTGGCCAACCGGACAACCTCGCGGACCGTCTCCTCGCCATGTGACCCCGTTAGAAGCTGTACAAGGCGAATCACTTTCCAGTTTCAGCGATCCGGGTTGCCCGTTTGACAAAGGCCCAGATATCACTTGAGTTTATCTCTCGTCCCAACCTGGATCAAGAAATTATTTTCCAAGTTGAACAGTAAGTTGTTAACTGTATTTTGAGGTATTTTTATGAGGTGTTTCAGGTGAATGTGTCACTTAGAGCGCCATTTATTCAACGATTTTCGTAATTCTCTCCACATCGTTTTAGATAAACCTTGGACGTGCACATCTTCATAAAATTCTCTTTGAATTCTACTTGTCTTTACACGAATAGCCGAAGTCGCATTCAAGCATGCGGCGACTTGTTTTCATCACAGTTCACCTCGGAATGTTCAGCTCAGTTCCGTTTCTCAGGGCGAAATGTGGTTCTTGCCAATCGCGCGTTCAGTTCGTTGTGTTGTGCGCGAATGTTCTGTTTCGAACGCTGCGTATTCGATTGTTCAATAGGTTCTTTCTTGACCAAAATAGTTTCCAATTGTGGAGGACTTCAAAACCGGTGCTGTAAAAGAAGAAAGAAAAGTTTTCTTCTCGCCTGTTCGGTGAGAGACCGAAGGGAACGGCCGCAACACCCGGTATTCCCAGTCGGTCAGCCATGCAAGTACCCACCGGGACCGATGTTGCTGAACTTCGGTGATCACAAGAGAACCGGTGTTTCCAACGTGGTATGGCCGTGGTCGTGTTTGTTTGGGCTGCTCTCTGTTTTCACTTTATCTTTATGTTCGACATGATGCGGGAAACAGCTGTTGTCCTCATAGCGGATAGATAGCGGCGTCGATATGCAACCGCACAGAAGCCTGTCTGATTTCAGTTGTACAACCGAAATTGTATTATATTCGCGGTGCGTTTTGCACCTTCGAAAAGGGAAAGCGTACTACATCGAAATGGGTCGATCCAGCTACCAACCTCGCTCTGACTGAAGAAGTATAGGAGAAAATAGACAAATTTGGCTATCGAGGCAGGGTTTCTTTGCAGCTGTTGAACAAATCTCGATTTAGGTTTCGGTAGGCATGTGCGTTTTGTTAGCACTGAAAACGTAAGCCTTTCATTAACGCTTTCGCACCATCCGATTGTTTTTGATGACACTTCAGCCGTTTGATCGGTATTGATATGTAGTACAGACACGTGGCCATTAAGGAAATTGCATATTATCGGTGTGTTTGTGTGTATGAACACCACTGTTTACGCCCCATTGCATGAATTTAGACGGACCAGCAGAAAATTAATGCCAAGCTTAGACACGCAGAGTTTTAGATTATTTCGTTCCCGCATTGGAGAAAGTACTTCATCTACCTACATAGATTACGTCGGGCATGTGTCACACATTTCACCGAATAGACTAATAATGCGTGGATGTTTTCTGAGGCAGGTGTTGGTTGAACGAAGGCTAAAGGTGTTCATACGAAAACCTGGCATGAGGGTACGAAAACCCTGAATCACCTAAGCGACCGTGAAGCTCGTTACCTTGCACCATGTACGAAGTTCTAATTTCACTGTATACAGAGCCACAGGCTGATGATATTGAGTAATACATTTGTGTATCGTGGTTATTTTTCGCAATGCAGACTACTGAATCATTCTAGCTTACAATT